TTCCACAGCTTTGCAAAGCCCTGGAGGAGCTGTAGCTGGAAGGCGCCAGGGAAATGCAAAGCATTATCAGGGAGTACATGCTAAAAGGATGAAGGAGGCCGGTGCCTCAAGCAGCCATTGCAAAGGGAGCACAACTGGCTCCCGCTCTGAGGTAGTCGCATTTTACACCAGTGTAAACACTGGCACAAGGTGCAGGGCCATGGCAAATCTACATCATTAGCTTCAGCTGGCCCCATGACCGCTGACTTAGTAACATCTCTCTGAGCTGGGCAGAGAGGGGAGAATGGAACTGCTGGGCATTCTGCCCCAGCACCCTCACGCTGGTCCGACTGCAGCATTGGGCTCCAGGAGCTGCCCAGCCCGTCTCGCAGGGCCTTGGGGGGCACTGCAGGATTCTTTTTAAAAAGAGGGATTTATGATAGGGCAACGGGAGCACGGTTTTGCTTTTCAGGGCAAGGCCCCTCCATTTGTGCTGTGTGCATACGTACAGCGCCCGGCGCGCTCACGGCCCCTGAGGCTCTCACAGTACCAATGAATCACGGTTAGAAAAAGCCACAGACTTTCCCCCTTCGCCCTGGGATTAGCAAATCCACCCTGGTTTTGCAGGGAAGATACAGAGATGCCAAAGCCAGAAGGGACCATTGTGATCCTCTAGGCTGACCTCCTGCATAGGACAGGCTGTGGGTCTTCCCAGAATTAATTCATAGCCACTGGGAGAGACCTCTCCCCCTCACCCCTCCCTGCAGGAGCCAAAGACTCAGAAAATCCTCCTGGCCGTTCTCATCGGTCTACTGGCCCTTCCTTCAAGGTCTGACCCCCTGAACTGCTGGGAAGCACCTCAGAGCCTCTCCCAGGATCAGGCCCATTGGCATCACAGGCCTCAGGCATGTTCAGCTCCCAGCAGGATCGGGCCCCTGAGCCAGCACTGCCTTAGTGACTTCTCTGGCTTCCCAGCCTCGGCATCCCTCGCTAAGTGGAGAGGGAGCCGGAGCTTTGTTTGAGCAAAAGCCTTGCTGCCCTTCTCCATGGCGATGTCACGGCTGAGCCGTGACTTCATGAACGTTTCAGAGCAGCGAGAATAGACTAGGCCCGTCCTGTCCGCCAGGGGCAGACCAGTCTCATCCCCCAGGCACCGCTGGGTGCTCCGCTCCCTGCAGTCCCACGACTGGGGCCGGTTGTGTTTTGGACCACGGACGCGTAACCCTCGCATGGCGTGCTGCTGCTCCAAAGCGCTGTCTGAACATTAACCAGGAGGTAACGCTCAATGGCCTCGGGTTTCAGAGGGGGGGAAACCGAGGCAGAGCTGTTGCGTGACATGGTAGCACGGGTCCCTGAAACACCCTGGGGGTTGACACAATCACAGTTAAGCAGGGAGGATCTTCACGCGGGCGAGCGTGTTGCGAGAGGTGCAGCGTTTTCGGTTCGAGGAGGACAGAGGGACAGACAGCCGTCCAGCAGGTGCTAGAGTAGCTGAGCTTGGCGTTTATTTGGAACTGAGCCCTGCAAGGTGCTGAGTGCCGCTGATTGGTGGTCGAGGGCACTCAGCACCTGGCAGGATAAAGCCTTGGGGAGTAAGAGAGAAACTGCATGCACCCTCCTTTGTTAGTCAAAGTGCAAGGTCTCCTTCTCACTTAGCCAGGCGGGTGCTAATAATCCCACAGGGGGAGAAGGGACACTTGGCATCTTCAGCCAGGTTAGTGTCACCTTCCTGAAGCCTTGCCCTGGTTCTCCAGGCCCTACCTGTCTGCTCTGGTCTTTCTGAGTTCCCTACCATTGATGGGGGGACCCGTCACCCCCACAGCTCGCTCCCATGTACAATATCGGCCCTGCCTTCAAAACTAGCCTTCAAATTTGCCTGTTTGGTTATTGGCTTATCTGGGTGGGACCCTGTGGCATCCCAAACCACCCAGGGTTTCCCAGACCCCACATTGAGAGCACTTGACCTGGTTAAGGATGAGCCCCCTGAGTCCCACCTACACCACTCCTTGGCTGCATGGGGTCGCTTGAGTCCCACCTCCACCACTCCCTCACCCCAAGGGCTCAGCATGCTGGCTGCATAGTCCCTAAGCCCAGCAGTGACGCACTCGAATGCAGAACCTGGACTGAGGTCCCTCGTGCTGACACCAGACCAGCGTAGCAGAGCTTTCCCTTGCTTACACCCTGCTCTGTTGCCTGGTTACCTCCTTTTCTGGAAGGTTTTCCTAGAGATTTGCCCAAAGGGTGCAAATTGGAAGAGACTGATTTCCAACACCAGTCAGTGAAATCCTCTTGCTATATCAGTGTCCTCTCCTCTACCCTGTGGTGGTAAAAATCTCATCCAGACGGTTGCAGAGAACAAATTCCCCGTCCCCTCATTTTAAGCTTGTTCTCTACCAAGATTAGCTCATGCAGGAGCAAGAGATCCATGCCTACGGAAGCCCGTGCTGTGATCTCGCGGGAGTTGTCCATTCACGTCTCACAACATAGCTGTGGTTTATTTGAAGGATCCTCCATATAATGATTCAACTGGGGAAAAATATCTATGTATGTATCCAGTTAGAGTCAGGAAGGCCTAGGTCTCAAAGCGATCAGTTTTATAACAAGGCAGTAAAATAAGGAAACAGAAGCAGTTGCAGCAGACCTCTCAGCCTGAGATCCAGGCCAGTCCTCTGGTAGCGAATGTGAGGTGTGACTTCCCAAATTCCCTTCTGTGTCTGCCAAGCACCCAGCCTTTGCCCTCTGCAAGAGGAGGTGGAGCTAACCCCTCGATTCCTGGTACAGCCCTTTTGCAATCACCTTGAATATAGTAGCTTCACACAGGTTAATAATCTGGGAACAAAATGGCTCCCAAAAGAAGGCGATACCTGGCCTACCTCTCACTCAGCAATTTCCCTTGGAGAATGTTAGAAATACTTTGTGTGGTTCATTACAGAAAGGGTCACTGCAGGCGGTAGCAAAGCAACCCAGTGGCCCTAGGAGCTCTGGAATGGTGGAGAATTCAGCTCTACCTCGGGGCTGCAGCCCCCTGGGACTACAGCGTAATTGAGAAATCAGGGCCGTCCGTGGCAAGAGGGGCAAGTTCAGGTGGATGTGTGATCTCCTGCGTGTACCATTTCCAAAAGCCTGTGCCCTTGCTTTGGCACTTCCCCTGCCCCTCCATGCACTTAGTACGTGTTTTATCTGAGCCCTTCTGGGACTTCTCTGTCCCATTGAAGCATAACCCGAGTCAGTCTCAAGGAGTAAAGTCCCTGGCTCTCCTCTCCTTTAGTCCAGTGTAAATCAGGGGTAACTATGAAATCATGCGGGTTACACCTGTTTGTCACCGTGTTCAAGGGGCTTTAGATCAGGCCCTTAAGTCAGTGGGAAGGCTCTAAATCCAGAGCTTCTACCCTATTATTTTAACTTGAGCTGTCATTTTCTACCCAAAGGACAGCCGATGACAGTAACCAATCCTCTTGCTTCATTCCTATGGTTCTTTGATTCCCTGGGCCCAAATTCCCATTGACTGCCCATTCACTCCAGTGTCATGGAGAGCAGGAGCAAGTCCGCTGGGTTTACACTGGCGTGAGGACATGCACCCCACCTTCCAAAGTCTCGGAAAGCCCTGACTGCTGCAGTGATTCTTCCCCATCCTCGCTAGGGCGCTGGTTGAGAGGAGAGAAGGGGTGTATATACAGTACCTAGCAACACATTTTAATTGTTATTATTGTAGCGACGAGACACTTGGGCATTTTGTACCCACAATTTTGCTGTTATTCCGAGTGTATGAGTCCACCCCTGCATGTGCAGTGTTTGTGTGCGACAGTCAGCCCCTCTTTGTGTGGTTCCAATTAACCTGTGTTGCCTCTGGACCCGATCCTGGCTGGGAGGAACAGGCCCACTGGACTACATGCTGGAGTAAGAAGCACTCAGGCAGTAAGGGATGCAGCATCCGGTCTGCTGTGTGCCAGTTACACAGTGGAATAACAGCCGAGTAAGGGCAGGGAACCTTCTTTCACTCAGAACGAAACCTGTATTCCTCAGCCCGCACCGGCTATCTCTGTATGTTCTCTAAGCGATGTATGTGTGTGTCAGTTGTGATACCAGCGGTGACTTCTAGGACTGTAACACCAGAAGTAAAGTGATTTTACTGGCTAATTATTTCTCTTTGGAAGTGTATTGTGTATAGGTGTCTGACTGTAAAACCAACTCCTCTCCGAAGAGAGAGGGCGTCTCATAGCCTGGCTGTACACATGGAAGCTGAAAGCTGGTTGGGGTGTGTGTGTCAATACAGTTTCTGGTCCCTCCCGCAAAAAAAAAAAAAAGTTATTTTCTTGATTATAAGAAGGGATCAAATTTTACCTCGGGGGGAAGATTGTGATGGTAGGCCCAGCCCTGAGCACAGGATGGGGCATACAGTGCACTAATCTGGAGTAGCACCAGGAGGCGCTGTGACTCAAACACCCACCCGAGTCAATTCCTCCTGGATTGCTCCTTGTTCCCAGGGGCAGCTATATATACTGCTCACCTTAGCCACCAGCAATCCTACTATATCCCCCCCGGCCCCTGCCTGTTGGCTGGGTTACTTTAGCCAGTAGGGGGCTGGAGCAGAAGCTCTACCCACCTGCCCCCTGGAGGGAGTAAGTGGGCTGCACCCAGATCCAAACTCCATGTAGCTTGTGCAGGTGTACAAGGATGTATAGGCATCAGTTACGTATTGTAAACTCCTTGCAAAGTCTGAGTCTGGCCCTACATGATTAACTGAAAGGTCAGGGAAAGCAGTGGCAGGGGGTGAAAATAACCGCTCTGGAACAGCCCCTCCAGCTGCAGACATCTCTCCACCTCCTACCCCCTGGCCAATGCACCAGAACAGGGACTAGATATACACCATAGATTCGAGACAAACCTAAGATGATGTATTTGGGGGCGGAGATTGAGCTCGTGTCACCTCCCAGCTTTCCTCCCTCCAATATTCTCCCCTCCACGCTTAAATAAAAATCCCAATTGCTGACAGTTTTTCCCCCACTTCTGTTCCCCCAAAGACTGGGACGCTATCTCCTGGGAGCTGGATCCTGCTTCCTGTCCTGCTAGGTCACTCCTCAAGCAGCCCTATGGAAATCCACCCCTGGGATGGAATACAGAGCAAGCTATTAAGTAAGGTGAGTGACAGTGGCAGGCTCTAGCTCGTAACTACATGGATGAAGAGAGAAGGAAAATTCCCCTTGTGAAACATTTGCCATGGAGTACAGCCTCTGCCCCAGTTCAGCTCCGCAGCGAAGATTCCATTGCAATAAGACTCAGAGTGTGAACGGCTCGGAGAATGCTTCGAGCTATAGGTGAACTTGTGCATTGAAATGAACTGAGGAGACAAAGAGTTGCGTGCCTCACTCCCATAAAAGTGATTTGGGCACCTAACACCCTTAAGCTCTTGGGAAGATACCAGGCTGAACTGTTATCTAGATGACAGGTACCGGACCACTCACTGATGTTCGTGAAGAATGGTGTGTGTATGAGAGGTAGGGGAAAACTGGAATTTTGTTCCTCTCTCTCCCCTCAACCCCTATCAAAAGCTAAATTTCCAGCCTGCCCAAAACTAGACTCCCATCCATTTTATTGTTGCTGAATTAGTCAGGGAGATAAACCACCACTCACCCGTCAGTTTAATAGCTACAGAATGCTGGGTGTCACAACCCTGGAGAATAAGAATGTCCAGTTATAATAATTAGGGCTGGAAGTTTGTCGCAGCATTGTTTAAATCGAAAATCAGGGAGCAATCACGGTAAATGTAGTAAGAGTCCTGGGCTTAGTGACTGCTCTGTGATTTCCGATAAAAAAGTGCCTTGATAAATGAGAGGGCACTGAGCACCCACAGCAGCACCTTCTGGCCTGGTACCGCCACTCTCATCCTGGCTGGGTGAAGCAGGGGCATGCCTGGAGGGTGAGCCTGCCCCTCACTCACCCCAGACATGGATAGAATGTCATGTTTGGCGAGAGGAAGGAAGGTGTCTGTGCCAAATTTGAGTGAGCGGTGCTGCGACTCCATGCGCCAGGTCGCAACACCCGGAGCAATGAGTCAGGCCCAGCCCTGGGGGACACAGGAGCCAACACTGTTGGATGGACTCTCTCCAGCCCCCCATCCACCCAGGACCTCCCCTCCACACTGGGCTGGTGACCCACCTAAAGCCTTCCTGCAGGAAGTCACAGACAAATGGAGAAATCATGGTATCTATGGTTTTTCTGCACTGTGACAAACCTGCTGCCCTAATAATGATGCCCCCCCCCCCAAAAAAAGGAAGGGAGATAAAATCTCAGGCTTCAACCACTCTATTAGGATGAGACCTTCATGGGGCGTGGTATGGTTATTATCCCCCAGGTGCCTCATGTGGGGCTTCTTGCACCTTCTCCCGAAGCATCTGGCACTGGCAACTGTCAGTGGCAGGTTTCAGGGCTAGATAGACCTTGGATCTGAGCCAGTCTGCCAGTTCCTAGGGTAGCTCCCAAAAAAGTATTGCATGAAACAAGAAAAATACAAATTCAACCAGTTTTGCTATAGATGATTACAACTGCAGGAAATTCTGGCTTTTCAAAATAAACACATTTTTGGGCTGTTTTGGAGCAGCAGAGTGTGCCTGAGATTTAAAAAAAAAAAAAAAATCCAACAAAAAACTCTGAGAACGTTTTTTTCCTATTAAACATTTTTCAACCAGCTCTAATCATTAGAGAGATTATTGCAATTGGACTGATTTAGCACTGGGAATGCCATGACATTTCCCAAGGCTCACCAGCAAGCAAATGCTCAGAGAGTTACTGGTTCTGGAAGCCTGGATGACCCAAACACACAGAGCACAGACTGGTTTGAAATCTTTTCCTAAGAAGTTTTGAGCCTTGAGAACAAAAAGTTACTGGCCTTCAAGGAAAGAGATGTCCAAGAGGCCAGTTCTCTGCATCCTCGTTTATCAGCCTTCAAGTGCTCCCGACAGGGGAAGGGTTCAGCTGGCACACAGCATGGTAAATGGGTATGTTCATCTCTGAGTGAAGCAAGGTATAGTGTAACGAGAGCACATTTATGAAGATTAAGCAGGCCCACGCATGTCACTTGCAAGCAAGTGGTGCTAAGACTGCTTTTTGTCTACAAACTATTGTAACATTACAGTCATGGGGAAGCTCATCTGTTGGAAAAAGAGAGTGTGTGCCCCTGTGTGAAAGAGAGACATATTGTATTACCAGGGAAATGAATAGAGATATTTACTGCAATTGTAAATACATTGGCCTTCCTAGGACTCATTGAAGAACAGCTAGTTCTGCAATCAGAGAGTGCTGATAATAGAGTCGTGCTCTGGCCCAATGCCTGTAAGAAGCCTTGGAGAGACTAAAGCCAGCGAAGTGAACCGACTGTCAAAATCAGTCTAAGTTACAAAGTCTGGATCAGAGCCAGATCTGAATGTCCGCAAGGTTCAGGAGAAGGTTGGTTTGTTCCATTACAAGCCAGCTATGAAATTTTGGTCTGTCTTGACACTGCACCGAACTTTGGGGACTCTTTGGACCCTAATATCATAGCAGGGGCATCTCTCCAGAGGTCCTGTTCTTTCACCACACGACAAGCATGGTCCATTGGGTTCAAGTGGAGTTTGCTCTTTTCCCATGGTGGGGGGGGGGAATCATTAGGAAACAGAGTGTTTCTACAGCATGCTTCCTTCCTATTCCCACTCCCTTACTCCACAAAATCTGCTTCTTTCAGACCATCACCCTAAAAACAAACAGGTAATCTGTGAGCACGCAGCTGTGGGAAAGCACTTTGCATACACATTGTTACAGCAGGTAATATTCCTGGGGCAGACAGTACTACCTGCTAACGGGATGCATTCATTTAACTAGAACAGGGGTAGGCAACCTATGGCACGCGCGCCAAGGGCGGCGCACAAGGTGATTTTCGGTGGCACTCACACGGCCCGGGTCCTGGCCACCGGTCTGGGGGGCTCTGCCTTTTAATTTTAAATGAAGCTTCTTAAACATTTTTAAAAACCTTACTGACTTGACATACAACAATAGTTTAGTTATATATTATAGACTTCTAGAAAGACCTTCTAAAAACGTTACAATGTATTAGAGGCACACGAAAGCTTAAATTAGGGTGAATCAATGAAGACTCGGTACACCGCTTCTGAAAGGCTGCTGATCCCTGAACTAGAATATATGTGCATTAGCTCGAGAGGTTCCTTCCAGGCAGACTCATATATATGAAATCTGACACGTCAGACACCTTTCTGCTTCAATCAGGAGGTGTTAACCTTTTGTAACAAGGTATAATCCGATAACTGTCCTGGGAAGCTCTTGCAAACCGAGCAATTATTAGAGCAGGCTGGTTTCATTGTGTCTTTGCAGCATTTCAGATGTTCTCATCCTATTCAAATATTTCTGTGTTGCAGTTCTTGAAAAACGTGGTTCGGGGGTGGGAAATTCTTGTTTGGGAAAAAAGGACAAAAATAAACTAACACACACCCAGGTACTTTATGCTCAAACAAGGCAATATTTGCTCATACCTGAGAGCAATATATTGTTGTAAAGCTGTTGCTTTAACAATTGTTCTGTTGAAAGCCTTTTTTAGCATGGCAAACTTTATCCTATTGTGCAAGTGCATATTTGGCAGTGTTCATAGTGTACATATTTACAGAGGATAGAGTTAAATCCAAAGTTGTAACTCTTGCTTTCCTTGATCAGATTGGTTATTTGAGATACAGAAGGGGATACTTTGTATTTAGAGAGAGAAAAAAAGAAAAAAAAAAGACAGACAGAAAGAAAGAAACCCTGCTTCAGTTGTCCATTTTAGCATATCTTTTCCTTTTAATTCACTGTACAATTTTGGAAGTGACTGTGTTAGATACGGATTTGATACGTAACCATGTCTCCTTCTAGTGTTTAGCCCCAGCAGTTATAACAGCTGGTTACTTATTGCTAAAAGACATGTTCGTTCTTCTTGGTGCTCAAAGTACTGGGTTCCAGTCTCCATTAACTGCTGAAGTATCTGCATGTAATGAAACATACATGCAGTGTGCTATTGTTTTAATAGTGGTGTGGATTTACTGGCCTGCATAAGTCAAAGTCCTTTAATTTATTAAATTTATAAACACCAGAAACAAGTGGTCTAGAAACAGAGTAATACATGGAAATAATAAACAGACACCACCCAGAGGGTCCAAGTTCAGTTCTAAGCTTGCTGGCTGGCAAACCAGGCTTACCCCTGTATGATGGGCAACCTAGGTTTTCAGTTTCACTCTGTTTACAAAAGCACAGATGTTCCAGCTACTAAGCAAATAGTGCATAAATTGAGAATGAAGGAAGGAATACCAGGCCTAGTACCTGAGCCCAAATAATTTTGGAATGGTTTGATTATGGGCCACAGGTAACATATCTCCAAGCACATAGTAAGTAACTGGATAAATTCATGGAGGTTAAGTCCATTAATAGCTATTAGCCAGGATGGGTAAGGAACGGTGTCCCTAGTCTCTGTTTGTCAGAGGGTGGAAATGGATGGCAGGTGAGATATCACTTATGTTCTTATGTAGTCCCAGCCGTTTCATAGACTATCAGGATTGGAAGGCACCTCAGGAGGTCATCTAGTCCAACCCCCTGCTCAAAGCAGGGCCAATCTCCAATTTTTGCCCCAGATCCCTAAATGGCCCCCCTTAAGGATTGAGCTCACAACCCTGGGTTTAGCAGGCCAATGCTCAAACCACTGAGTTATCCCTTCCGCTTTTGCCATGGGACAGGGGTCAGAGTCCGGAGGCTGCAGGATACTAGATACCATTGGTGTTAAACTTGTACCACTCAAGTTGCAAATTCATCCTGAAACCTTCCACTGGGGACACAAGGGAGGTTAATTGGCTTGCTGAGCATCCACAGGCTGCTAGGACTGTTTTGTACCTAGGGCAAATGGCCTTCAAGCAACAACTGACCAAAGACAGGAGGGGAAACACACAGTGGACTTCCAGTGCCTCCTAACCTTCAGATCCCTGTTTCTGGAATGGCGCCGAGTTAGAATACTGTACTTTGAGATGCCTTTCCCATTTTCCCCAGCCCATCACAGCTGGCTTAGCTTTAAGGGAGATTCTGTGCATTTCATGTATGAAGGATTAGATCCAATCATCCAACCTTGCCCTAAACTGAGCAGAGCATTCAGAGCCCACTGCACTACCAGGAGGAATTTAAGGTGCCCATAAGTGGAGCAAGAGTGGCATCTTCAGGACAGTGAGATGAACTATCCAGGATGGGAAGTTAACAGCTGGAAGGGCTCCCCCCAGAGCAGATTTCACACGTTCACTTCCTGCAGGAGCAGAGGAGTACTGTTAACATCACCTGTTCCTTTAGCTGGTGCTTGGAACATGTATGATCACATACGGTCTCAATTAGAAAACAAAACTAACACCTTCAAAAGAGGAGCCTGGGAACTTCAATTCATAACTCTACTGGACACTAAAAACCACAGACATAACAGAGATGCTGGCTGTATGGCTTATTACAACAATTTGTAACACTCCCTGCCTCCTACCACCCCCTTTGTCGCATGAATGCAGAGGTGTTAATTACCCACTTCATTTTAAGTGGTCTCCTGCAACATGGGTGCATCTCTTATGCTTAATCTGGCCCACTTTGTATATAGCTGTGACACTAACTGGTTATCTTCTCAGGACCTGAAGAAGAGCTCTGTGAAGCTTGAAAGTTTGTCCCTTTCAGAAACAGAAGTTGGTCCAATAAAAGATATCACCTCGCCTACCCTGGGACCCCATCCACGCTGCAAACAAATATACTCCACAAACTCTGTCACAGAGTCATTTTGAAAGGCTGAATGGAGCAAGACAAACTATCACAATTCATTTCACATGTAGGGGCAGAGTGTGCAGCTGTTTTTTCTTATGCAACCATCATCTGACTCCGTATTTAGGGCCTGATCCTGACGTTAGACACCCAAACACCTTCATAGATTCATAGAACTGAAGGCTAGTAGGGACCATTTAGTCTCACCTCCTGTATATCACAGGCCATTAAATTTCACCCGTTACCCCTATATTAAGCCCAATAACTTGGGTTTGACAAAAGCAGATCTTTCATATTTCTACCTTGATGCTGGCAGAAATATTTTAAAGATGCATACAAGTATATATGATAAGGCAGTACTAGGTGTTAATTAACTACAATTTAAAAACTCAATATAACCAGGTTTTAGATTGCATTTAGGCCTTCCCCTGCAAGGGGGAAATACATATGCTGACTAAAAACCAAAGCAGACCAGTCTATTCGTATTGCGCAAGCTCCAAGCAGAACGGCAAAAAATGTCAACGAGCAGCATTTTAACTGGTCAACATTAGGAGCTGTGCAAAAGGAAGAGGTGGACTCCAGGCTCTCAGAGAGGAATCTAAAGTCAAGGGAGACAGTGGACGAGGACTAAGCTTCGAGAACTCAGGGAGGGTGGTTTTTTATTGTGGTGGATTATTGCTTTGTGGGAATCGGTGTCGAGGTTCCACGGCGATGGGTGCGTGAGAATTGCAGAAAAGGAGCGGAGGGAGGAAAACAAGGGAGTGGGGGCATCTCTGGTATGAACAGGAAATCGGAGGCGTTCTTCCAGGTTTAAAAGCTCTCTGTGACTTGCTCCACCCCGGGGCCCGGGAAGCACCCCCACAGCGGCCCAGGGGGATGGGACAGGATAACATCAGCCTCTCTGAGGGGGCCAGGACAGCTGATCCTGCCCCTTGCTCTGGCAGGAAAGGCTCTGTGGGAAGGCAATGGGGCTGGGGAGGTGAGCACCCCATGGAAAGGGATGGTGACGTGAGGGAGCCCTAGGGAAAGGGATGGGGGGGAGGGGAAGTGAGGGTGCCCCTAACGAAGGGGTTGGGGGGAGGGGGAGCTCTATAGGGGGAATCACCTATGGCCTGTGGGGACCTTATGGAAGGGGGCGGGGCTCAATGGGGAGGTTGCCCTTGCCCCTCACAAAGATGGCGGCCCCTGAGGCAGGCGAGCAATAACCGGAAGTCCCGCGAGCCCTCACAAAGATGGCGCCGAGCGATGCCCCCAGTGCCCGGAAGTGTCGCTGCCCCTCCCGCAGCTGGCGGCGGCACCCGTCGGACACGTCACGGGTAAAGGGACGCTCCCCCGCTTCGCGGGACGGACGGTGGCCGCCCAGGGTCGCGCCCAAGATGGCGGCGGCGGCGGGGCCCGGGCTGCCGCGGGGCCCGGAGGCGGCGGCGCTCTTCGAGGCGCACACGACGGCCGAGCTGCGCGAGGTGGAGCGGCGGCTGCGGGCGGGCATCGAGCAGAAGCGGGAGGAGCTGCGGCAGATGGTGGGGGAGCGCTACCGGGACCTCATCGAGGCGGCCGACACCATCGCCGAGATGCGCCTCAGCGCCGAGCACCTGCTGGGGGCGGTGCGGGGCCTGCAGCGCGGGGCGCCGGGGCCGCGGGGCGCCCGGGGGGCCCAGGTGAGCGAGGGGGGGGGTGAGCGAGGGGGCGGGGCCTGCGGCCCCCCCCGGGGGAGCGAGGGGGCCCCCGCAACAAGCCACGGTCAGTGCAGCCTTGGCCCAGGACAGGCCCCCAGCCTCGAGCCAGGCCGCAGGTGCCGGCCCCACCCTAGCGTCACTGCTGGAGCCCCGCGAGGGCTGGGGGTGCCCCTGCCCCACAGCCCCCGTCCTCCTTGTCGGCGGTCAGAGTCGTCCTTGTGAGACCCTGCTGCATCGCAGCGCCACTCCCGCCTGGTGGCCCCCGCACCAGCTCGGCCTTTTCCTTCCTGCCAGGGTGGCTAGGACATCCTGGGAGACGAGCCCCTGAGCTGGGCATGGCGGCGGGGGCGGGGGGGGCGTCGTCAGTTTACCCAAAGCCTGGGTTGCCGGACTGCATTCTGTCCGGCTTTCGCCTGTTAGCGGTCACGGCACGGAAGCGTACAGGGACAAAGCTCGGGTAGCTTCTGCATTGTTGTTCCCTTGGAAGCGTGATTGTACCCACAGTCACGGCCTCTCCTTTCGTGCCCAGACTACGCTGCACTCGCAGGAGAAGTTCTATGGCACCGCAGCGCAGATCAAGCTGCTGCTGGAGATTCCCGAGAAGATCTGGAGTGCCATGGAGGCCTCTCAGTACTTACGTGCCACTCATCTCTACCTGCTCTGCTGCCATCTCCACAGCCTCCTGCAGCTGGATTCCTCCAGCTCCCGTTACAGTCCCATCCTTGCACGCTTCCCCATCCTTGTACGACAAGTGGCAGCAGCTAGCCACTTTAGGTAAGCAGCGTGGTGGTGGTTGCAGCCCTGCCAGAGCCAAAGTTTGCAAATGCTGTCAGAGCATTGCACTGCCGTAATATTTTAAACCTACCTGAAGGCCCGATACAAACATAGCCTCCTATCCTCTCTTTTTCCTAGGGGAAGTAGGGATTATTGTTCCACAGCCACAAAAGCTGAGAGACAGAGGTGAAGCAGTTTACCCAACATCATACTGACTGCCGCTGGCAGAACTGACAGTAGAACCCAGGAGTTTGACTCCCAGTGCCCTGTTCTAGATCTCTCCTTCCTCATGGGAAGAAGTGTGGTGGTGGTAGAGAATATTTTTTTTCCTCCCCTACTTTCTCTCTATTAAGTCAAGGGCTCAACATAGCTCCCTCTATGCTTGTCAGGCATCACTCTTGAAGGGATTGCATAAAGTGAGCTGTTGTCTTCCCCCTAGCAGACAAGCGTTTCCATCCCCTGAGCAGCTCAAGATGTCAACATGAACCCTTTGTATGCAGGACAGTCCATTCCAATTGGATGGCTGAATTAGCTTGGACACCTTTGGGAGTTTCCTGGTGGAGGGTTATTACTTTGAAAGGTTCAAAATGCTGTGTACTAGAGTAAGAATGTAAGCAGTGTTAGTTTACCAAGCTGGCAGGATCATGGAATTTAAACCACCCTTTTAAGATTACACTGTTCCACCTTATACTTTACAGCCACTGGGGTAGGAAGGGTTGATGCGGTCAGGTTCCAGGACTGGGCCAGACGATCGGCTGCCCTAGGTGCCTCGTAGGTGACTCCTATTGATTCCACCCATGGATATGAAAGGAAGCTTTGGTTTCCCATATGTTCGGTTTAGTCTCTTGCTCCGCCAGGGCCACCTCCTACTTGCAGCTCATGGGCAGGCAGGCTCCGCATCAGGCTGCAGCCCCAGAGTAAAGAGAGCGCAGCTGGCGGTGGAGGGAGGGACGTGGAGAGGATCTAGCTCCGGGGGACAAGGAGAGCAGCGAGTGACGACGGGGGTGTCTGTGGAGAGGTGCGAGCAGGAGACAGGGCCTCGGGGGTCTGGTTGTCAGCAGTTAGAAAGCTGGCAACCCTGTTCAACACCTGGTGACTGCATCTCACTTGTTTCCTTATTAGATCCACCATACTGCATGAAAGCAAATCGCTGCTAAAATGCCAGGCCGTTTCTGACCAAGCAGTGGCAGAGGCCTTATGCTCCATCATGCTTTTGGAGGACAGCTCTCCACGCCAAGCCCTGACAGACTTCCTGCTGGCCAGGAAGTCAGCTGTTCAGCAGCTTCTGAACCAGCCACATCACGGTCAGTACAACTGGCTTCGCTCCTGAACTGATGTTAAAGGAAGCTCTAAGGTCTCTTTCCCATCTCAAGGAAAGAGCAGAAACTGAGTGGAACGGAGTTTGTCCTATTTTGTAGCCTCCATGGGAACTTTGTTGCATTGAATCAGGGTTAACACACAGCTAATTATTTCCCTTGGTCCTTTAAAAACAGTAGTGGCCAAACAGGATAGCTTGCAGGAGACTCCTTTATCACAAGATGGGGGTGATTGGTTCAGAGGTACTTGTGTAGCTAACTGATCCATCACAATAACTCTGCTTTGCTGTATCTATAAGTTACTCCATGCTCTGCCCATCTCCATTATCTATAGGAACAGATAGCTGGTATCTTCACTGTAAATACACATCTGGCTTGGAAAAATGTTTGTCCTTTCTGACCAGCATTGTTCTTATTATGGGACTGCTTTAATGAGGAAGGTTAGGGCTGCTGCCTCTATTAAGAAATTTTTCTTTTTAGGTGCGGGAATAAAAGCTCAGGTGTGTTCGTTGATGGAGTTGCTAACCACCACCTTGTACCAAGCTCATGTCCTGTTTTACACTCTGCCTGAAGGGGTGCCCTCAGATCCGACCCTGCCCTGCAGCTTGCTCTTTTCAATGCTGGAGACCACAACAGGCCAGGATCCAGCAGGTGAGTAGCTTGCTCAGGCAATGAGACTTGGGATTGGTTTCACTATCTCATGGTCATTTGTGCATGTTCCTCATACAACTAGGGCTTAGTCAAGACCCCATTGAACCCACCCCACTCATGCGGCACAATTCTTCTAGGTAAAGGCATCAAAGTTTTGAAAGAGGAGATGCAGCTGAGCAGCTGGTTCAAATATCTACCACTGTCCATTGTAGAGTTCCAGCCAACCCTCCGAACCCTGGCACATCCAATCAGCCAGGACTACCTGAGAGAGACTCTTCAGAAGTGGATTAACATGTGAGTGTATAGAGGGAGCTTCTTCTAAGGGATGGATTAGGACAGTACTTGTTCTGTCACTGTATTCCTCCTCTAGTGAAAGGGAGTGAGGCGCCATCAGACACCACTAGATCTGTCTAGCAGCATAGAGTGCTTCTGCAGCACCTAAGCAGCTCAACAGCAATCCTTGGCTGGGGGTCGTAAAATGGAGCCAAGTTTACTCACCTGCCTGTTATCCCCATAGAAGCGTATCAGGACGCCCGTGTCTGCCACAGAGATGCTGAGATAAGGGATTATACAGACTAAATGCTTTCTCGAAAGCCAGGTTGTTCAATACATCAGTAAGGCAGCAGATTATAACCAGAGCACTTCCCTGCAACGCTGAGTGATCTGTGTCTAGCGTCCCTGCAGTATTACCGAAAATAAAGTCCCCCAAACTCTTATCCAAATAGAAAAATGCCTCTAAGTGCTTACCTCTGCTCTTCGGTATTTCCTTCCTGGGGTTGTTCTCATTCCAGCATCTCTTTTCTTCCTGCTGTCCTCCTGAGCACTGTGCAAGAGAGCTGGCAGAGCCTACATTATAAAGGTCCCAGGCTCCTCCCCTTTCCCAGCATGCCTTGCTAAGAGGAGAGTAACAGTCAGGCCTCCCTTTCCTTATGTAGTGGCTCAGTCAGCCCCATGCGACTCTGCCCTCTACCTATGAAATGCATGAAAGTGTAAGCAAACGGTAGCTCTTAGCTGCAGTCAGACTGAAGTTTGAAGCCTTCTTTGGTTGAGAGGAATTCCTACCCCCAAACTTCTCCCTGCCCGGCTGCCCCATTTTATCCTCCAAAGAGCACCTCCGTCAGGGGCCCACATGTGCTAGGTTGGCTAGCGGGGAGTTGTTGCAGAGTAAGGTGATGGTCTTTGCCCAACCCTGGTACAGCGCTCCTTGCCTGTGGTCCAGGGCGCTGAGATACATGGGCTGGGACCCTGTAGGGGAGCATGATGTGCTTCTAGTAGTTCCTGGGGATGACGCAACATGTGGGTCAACATGGCCAGGAATGCAAGTGGCTGGATCACTGTGAGGTGGCAGGTAAACTTCCTAGGTCATTTTCAGTCCTGCCACGGGTCTCCTTGCTGGATCCTTTCACAAAGCAATAAGAATCCCTTTGTAGTCCAGCCTAGAACAGTAAAGTAGAAGTTCTCTGCTGCATTGCCTGGAGCTGTGATATGAGGGAATGGGACTGAAGTGAATATTGCTTTCAGGTGTAATGAAGATATCAAATCTGGGCTTATCACTCTGCTGGGCTACGTGAAGAGCCTGAAAGGCCTAGCCGGCATCCGTGACGCTGTGTGGGAGCTGCTCACTGGTGAGTCCATGAGCCAGAACTGGGACACAGTGTGTCATCGACTCTTGGACAAGCCCATCTCCTTCTGGGAGGACTTGCTGCGCCAGCTTTTCTTGGACAGGTTACAGGTGAGATGCTGTCGGGGCTAAACCAGGCTGACTTTGGCAATGTTTAAGTGCTGTCTGCTTCTCTAGCCTGGCAGTCTCAGCAGAGAACAGGTCATGAGGGGCATACGTTAGCTGGGTGGGGGACAATGTTCCCTCTAATTTTTTGACAGGCCACGTGCGCAAAAAATTTCTTCTGTGTAAATTTTTGTGCGCGCGGTGCTTCACCGTGTGTGCAGGGTTTAGGATCTGTGTGTGCGTGCAACACATGCACAGCTTAGAGGGAACAGTGTGGCGGGGGAGGGGAAGGCTGGTGCTGCATGGGGAAGCTTGCACAGCTGCTCCCCTTGCGGTACTGTCTGGGGAGAGAGGTCTTCACTCTCCAGGGCCGCCCACAGTACCTTTCAGCAGCCATAGAGGCACTCTTAAAATGGGTGATGTGGCAGCCACTGAGACCTGAGAAGGGAAAGTTCTCTTTTCCAGACCCTGACGAAGGAAGGATTTGACTCCATCTCCAGCAGTTCGAAACAGCTTCTTATCTTAGCTCTACAGGAGCTTGAAGTCAAGTCCAGTACCTCCACCCCCAGCAAGCACATCCAATTTGAACACAACATGGCTTTGTTTCTGTGGTCAGAGAGCCCCAGCGACATGCCTTCTGATGCTGCCTGGGTCAACGTGGCAAACCGCAGCCAATTTGCAAAGAGTGGCCTGTCTATGAAGGCCCAGGCTCTCACTCCCTGCGTGCAGAGCTTCTGTTCTGCCTTGGATACCAAACTGAAGGCCAAACTGGATGACCTTCTGTCCTACCTGCCCTCTGACTCTTCCACACCCAAAGAGATATTGGGCGTGCAGTCCAGGAACTCTGCTTTTGATAGATATGCTGATGCTGGCACCGTAGAAGAGCTGCTCCGTGATCACTGCATTACCTGCATCCAGTATGTCTTGGGCTGTGTTAGAGAAGAGCTGCAGAGTGCTGAGGACAAGCTGAAAGGACACACAGACGCTCTGAACGATGCCAAACTTAATACCGTCCTCTTCATGGCAAGACTTTGTCAGTCACTAGGTGAACTGTGTCCTCACCTGAAGCAGTGCATTCTGGGTAAATCAGGCAGCACAGAGAATGTAATGAGGGAGACCCGGTCTTTTAAAAAGCCGGGGAAAGGGAAAGTCCAGGAGGTGAATCCCATGCAGGCCAAGTGGCAGGAAGTGAAAGAACAACTCCTGCAACAGAGCCTGTTTGCATATCAGATTTGGAGCTCAACTGTTATAAAAGTAAGTAGCCAGTTTTCTTTGGGCACACTCCTTTCCTATTTAGGTTTCTCTTTCACAGCTGCCCACAGCCACCACTGTGCTTGTCATTCTAGTTCTTCAGAGACTTTCCATTCATTAGAACATTGCCACTACTAGAATTAGGGTACCTAATCATAATGACAGTAAGGATAAGTTCCTGGGTTAGTGGTTCTGTTGTGTGGTATGTGGTTGTTGGTGAGTATTTGCTTCAGGTTGCGGGGCTGTCTGTAGGCAAGGACTGGCCTGTCTCCCAAGACTTGTGAGAGTGTTGGGTCATCCTTTAGGATAGGTTGTAGATCCTTAATAATGCGTTACCAGCAGGAGAGTGAGTTTGTGTGTGTATGGGGGTGGGGGGGATGTGAGAAAACCTGGATCTATGCAGGAAATAGCCCGACTTGATTATGTAAAGAGTTGTCACTTTGGATGGGCTAGCACCAGCAGGAGAGTGAATTTGTGTGTGGGGGTGGAGGGTGCTGGAAATGGCCCACCTGTTGATCACTTTAGATAAGCTATTACCAGCAGGACAGTGGGGTGGGAGGAGGTATTGTTTCATATTCTCTGTGTGTATATAAAGTCTGCTGCAGTTTCCACGGTATGCATCTGATGAAGTGAGCTGTAGCTCACGAAAGCTCATGCTCAAATAAATTGGTTAGTCTCTAAGGTGCCACAAGTACTCCTTTTCTTTTTGCGGGTACCTAATCAGTTTCCAATGACTGTGGCTGAGCTATAGCTCTGAAATAGTCACACTCTGAGGTGCCAGATCCCCTTGGTGTGACGCTCTTAAAGACCAATGGAAAATACTTTGCCCACCTCAGACTCCTCAGCAGATTCACTAAGTGAAAAACACAAGGGAGCCATAAATAGACTGCCTGACCCCAGTACCTGCATTGGCCTGTTACTGAATATTTGTATTTTTCCCCTCTAGGTCCTGGTTCACAGTTTCACCAAAACTTTGCTGCTAGATGCAGCTGGCTCTATCTTAGCTACGGCCACCAACTGGGATGAAATTGAAATTCAGGAGGAGACAGAAACAGGAAGCAGCATAACGTCAAAGATCCGACTCCCTGTACAGGTGTGAGCAATGTCCTCTGGGTGAATGGAGGGAAATAATCTTTCAGGAGGCCAAAAGCTGCTTGTAAAATAGTCAGTAAACCTGCATTTCACTCTAGGAGGTTTCACTGAATTCACTCCTATCTTATGAAATCTTCCTGCACTCACGGTCACATATCCAAGTCCTAGGGGGCAACTTGAAGATCTTAGGACTTCTGCCAAAGAATACGCATGCAGTGTTGTAGCTCTCTGTCTCAAGATAGGAGAGAGAGGGAGCTTTTATTGAACCAACTTCTGTTGGTTAGAGACTTTTACACTTCCACAGAGCTCTTCTTCAGGTCTGTCCTATAGGAGAATGTGAATGTAAATACGCTGTGAGGGATAAGCCCCAGCCATCCCCTGGCCAACATTCCCCCCTCTCACTAAAAGCGGTCCCTAAAGTCCATGTTGCTGACTTGGTGCTGTACCCAGAATGGCTGGTGTTTGTATAACACTGTCACTACATCACCTGTAGCCCAACTTTTTGGCTTTATTCCTAATTATTTGCAGTGCTTTTCATTGTGTGCTGGGTAATGCTTAAGGAGAACAGTCCCTGCCCTGAGATGCTCCCGCTGTAGAGATAGTCTGGGAAAGGGGAATTAAAAGAGGCAGCTTATAATGTACAAATCAATAAGATTCCTTAAACTCACTTCTGCTGCACTGCCTTTAAGACAAACTCAAAGGTGGACAAGGATGAGCTGTAGGAAAGAAGGCAAGGTGGTGATTGTATAAATCTGACAAACAGGTGGATGAGATTGGGCAGCAATAGTGGAGCAGCAGGGGTAGGAAAGTTGGGAAGAGACAAAGCTATGTAGACTTTTGAAGGTGGTGACAAGCAGCAGATATTGGCTGGGAAGCCAACTGAGGGACTGAAGAAAGGGAGGAGTTACATGATCAGACAGGCAAGAAAGAGGAGTTTAGCAGCAGCATTTTATACAGACTGAAGGGAGTGGATGTGTGAGAGAGACATTAGGGTGAAGAGGGAAGATACTGCAGGCAGCAAGGCAGGCTATAATGAGGCCTGAACAAGAGACGTGGCTGGGTGGCGGAAAGCAAAGGACAGAATGAAGGAAGTAGCATCCAGATTTGGAATGTCTTGTAAGTGTGGGGTAAGGGAAAAGGAGGAGTAAAAAAATACCCCTCAGATTGTAAGCCTGAGTGACTGGGAGGATGGTGTTGTGAACCGTGATAGGAAAAGTGGGAAGACAAGTTCAGTTTTTGTCTATATTCAGTTTAAGATCTGTCTTAGTACAGTGATGGAAGCCAGACAAGTACTTATCTGAGCACCTTATAACCTTTAATGTATTTAACGTCTTGATGCCTATGAGGACATCAGACAATTGAAATGTGGGATTGGATAGGAGACAGGCCAGTGATAGAAAGAGATTTGTGAGTTATCAGCAACACAGACGATGGCTAAAACTAATGGAAAGAGCAAAGAGAAAGCCCTGGGGAACCCCCACCAAAGCCAGGGGAAGAGCTGGCCCCACCAAAAAACACAGAGGAGAAAAGATATAGTATCTCAAAACCCTGCTGAGGATAAGATGTCAGGAAGGAGGGGTTGAGCTGCAGCTCTAGGATGAGGATAGAATAGAAGCCCGGAGGTTTGGCCAGGAAGAGGTAACTGAAGACCAAAATGAAACCAGTTTCAGTAGAGTGGAAAAAAGTTAGAAGCCCATCTGGAAGGAAGATAACAGACCTAGAGGAGGGAAAATCAGTACTTTGGTTGTAGACTACATATTTCCTGATTTTCGAGTGGAAGGGACTATAGCTGGAAAGGCAGATGGGGCTAACAGATGGTTCTGAAGATAGTGGAGACCAGGACATGCTTCATGAGGGGAAAGATCCAGAGGATGATGAGAGGGAAAGGGTATGTACGGAGTCAGTAAGAGTAAGGAGGTAGGACAGGATGGGAGCATTGAGGCAGCCTTCTGTGAGGGGAGAAGGCAAGAGACCAAGGTTGGTGATGAGGAAGGAGAAGATAGCAGGAGAAACCCAGAATTCACATCACCTCTCTCATTCACCTTGATAATGCCAACAACCCATACAGAAAGGTCAGGAACATATCCGCTTTTATTGGTGTCCTGTGTGTGTCTTTTCCCCCCCAACAGCCATCCTGGTATGTTCAGTGCCTCCTCTTCAGCTTGTGTCAAGAAGTCAATCGGGTTGGAGGTCACGCTCTACCAAAGCGTACCTTGCAGCTGCTGCTGAAGACCTGCCTGGCGGAAGTGCTGGCTGGCTATGAGAAGCTTGTTGAAGAGAAGCAGGAGAAGGTATTCAGCTGGGATTTTGTTCTACACCCTGGATTTTTGGTTGTACTGAAAGGGAATCTGCAAGTGCAGTCACAATTATAGTCAATCTTTCCTACTGATCAGGGAACCCCAAAAATTCATCTCTGAGAAGCCCCCAGAAATTTAAGCTTGTTTTATGGGACATAACCTGGGACTGGGATCCAGCTTAATGCAAAATCTCTACACTCCAGTGCCTCAGTTTCCCCACCTGCAGTTATCATCCAAGCCTTCCTTTCATGGGTTTTGAGACTGTAAAGTGCTGTAAGCCCTTGAGAGCCTGTGCAGGAAAGGGAAGTAGCCGCTTGCATGCTCCCGTGACAATGCTCTAGTTCTTCCACCTGTCTGCTTGCATGGCCAGCAAAGGCCTCTGAAAAGGAAACAGAGCTTTGTTAAGGCCCTACTTTCCCATTAGCATGATGCTAAGAGAGATGGCTGCAGTTCCAGGAGAGCCATGGTGTTACTTCAGTAATAGACTAGACAGATCTTCTGCATATTCCATTTCTTAGAAACTGAAGTGAATGCTTTCTTTGTCCAATACACGTGTCAGAACATACTTAAGTCTTTTCTTCTGCTTCGGGAGCTACTTGGCATGACTGGTTTGGTCATTTCTTTTCAATGTGGCTTTGCTAATGTGTCCAGAAGCCTTTGGAACGGTTAGGGCTAAGACATTCATGGCACTTCACAAATGAGACCATGTCTGCCCTGAGGAGCATACGAGTCAACATACAAAGAGGATGTGACAAGAGTGGATGTGGCATAGGATAGCTAACTGAACTGTTGGACTTAAGCCTGCTGCTGATTGTTCTGAGTATTTTGTTTGTTCTGTCTTGAAAAAAACCTTTGGAAACCATTATTATAAAGAGAATGTTGAAACATACCCTTCTGCCTTCCTTACAGAAGGGACGCACGTTCCCAATGACTCAGAACAGGGCGTTGCAGTTGCTCTATGATCTGCGTTATTTGAATATAGTCCTAACAGCTAAGAGTGAGGAAGCAAAAACTAGCCGGAGCAAGCAGGACTCCAGGTACAGTGTACTGCCAGTGTTCTAAGCCAAGCATCAGAGAGGCTGTTCAGGGTCTGAAGCAAGTTCTCAGTCCAGTTCTGACATCCTACTTCCTCGCACACAATCACAACTTAAAGGCAGTCTAAAGAGAAAGTGGCTCATTCAGCCTTGCTCTATGACAGAAGCGACCTACAGAGAAGTTCTTCAGGGAAAGCTAGAAGCCCTACAGGGCAGCATATGGGACATTGGTATGTCTGCCACTACCCATCATCTTTTCACCAACTCTTAAGCATAGTCTAAAAATCTCAGAGTGGGATGAGGGTGGAGTATTGGAGCTGAGCCAGGCCAACCAGTCTCCTCAATGGGGGTAGACCTGGTATCACTAACTGATGCCTCCAGAGAACTCTTCTGCCTGGTCATGGAACTAGTCTTGAAGAACCTTACTTTTAGAAATCACACCTGTTTAGCAACAGGTTTGTGAAGCAGAAGAATAGGGAGCACAAATCCCACTCAGACACTTGGCTTCCACTCTAAGGGTATGTCTACACTACGAAATTAGGTCGAATTTATAGAAGTTGTTTTTTTAGAAATCGGTTTTATATATTCGAGTGTGTCTCCACAGAAAATGCTCTAAGTGCATTAACTCGGCAGAGTGCTTCCACAGTACCGAGGTAAGAGTCGACTTCCGGAGTGTCGTACTGTGGGTAGCTATCCCACAGTTCCCGCAGTCTCCGGAAATGAGATGCAAAAGTTCGCGGTTCTTTTCCCATCTACCTGGCCAGTGCATCTGAGTTGAGAGCGCTGTCCAGAGCAGTCACAATGGAGCACTCTGGGATAGCTCCCGGAGGCCAATACCGTCAAATTGTGTCCACAGTACCCCCAAATTCGACCCGGCAAGGCCAATTTAAGTGCTAATCCACTTGTCAGTGGTAGAGTAAGGAAGTTGATTTTAAAAGCCCTTTAAGTCGAAAAAAAGGGCTTCATTGTGTGGATGGGTGCAGGTTTACATCGATTTAACGCTGTTAAATTCGACCTAAAGTCCTAGTGTAGACCAGGGCTAAGAGTGTTCTGTAAATAGGAACAGAAAAGCCTTCAAAATTACATTAAAGTACTTTCACCTCTTCCCTGCTGCAGGTAGAGGCTTATTGAATGGAAGTTTTTCCTCTGTCACAAGTCTGCAGAAGCCTTGTGAAACTGAAAACTGCTGCTCCTCTGATGTGTGCCTCCTACTTGTACTCAGACAGAGGTCAGCTGAGAGGGGAGCAGCTCAGTTTCATGAGGGACCACTGCAATACCAATTTCCACTTGCCCCATCATAAGCATCTGTCCATCTTGTAATCTACTTTTATTTAATATGAAGATCTGTAATGGCATCTTTTTGGTCTTGTTGCAGGATTGAGAAGGTGACAGACTTCTTAGAAGCCAACATTGATCCGTTTGACTTGGATGTTTTTACTCCACATTTAAATAGCAGCCTTAACCGCCTGGTGCAACGAACCTCTGTAAGTTCAGGGGAAAGGAATTCCCTGCAATAGAAGTGAATGTTGCAAAACCTGTTTACTGCTTTATTCTACTGCAGAGTTATCAAGCAAGCTGATCATTTCCTCACATTATGCAGTTCAACTGCAGCTAACTATTGGCCTGCACTCAACATTGCAGATGGGATATTTAAAGCCAGCTGGAGCTAGGCATAGCTTGCTGAGCGAGTTCTCTATAGCATGATAGATACACACTCTCACTCAGCTCTCTTCCTTCTGTAACCAAAAGGGAGAGTCATTAGAATCTGTGAAATACAAACTGCCACATAGTCAGCCCCAGATTCTGCTACCATAGTAGCAGGCAGTTAGCTGAGGCATGGTCTACACTAGGAATTTGTCAGTATAACTACATCACTCAGGGGTGTTGAGCGATGTAGTTAGTGCTATTTTTCACAGGAGGTCTTCTCCCATCACCCTGGCTACTGCCTCTAGGGAAGATGGAGTACCTACACAGACAGAAGCAGTTCTCCTTTTGCTAGAAGCTGGGAATAGGTGACAAGGGATGGATCACTTGATTCCTTGTTCTGTTCATTCCCTTTGGGGCACCTGGCACTGGCAACTGTCGGAAGACAGGATACTGGGCTAGATGGACCTTTGGTCTGACCCAGTATGGCTGTTCTTAGTGAAAATACTACCTAGAAGCACCACTGCACCTCTGTAAGTTAGAGAAGCTCTGATGAAAGGAAACAAGTTTAAGAGAGCGAGGGGAGAGAAGTCAGCTGCCTTGAAATGGAAAAATTAAGGCTGAATCCTTTCCCCAAAACGTTAAAGACAATTCTGTGTGTATTTGAGAGCTTCTGTATACAGGCAAAAAGAAAAGGAGTACTAGTGGCACCTTAGAGACTAACAAATTTATTTGAGCATAAGCTTTCGTGAGCTACAGCTCACTTCATCTGTAGCTCACGAAAGCTTATGCTCAAATAAATGTTAGACTCGAAGGTGCCACTAGTACTCCTTTTCTTTTTGCGAATACAGACTAACACAGCTGCTACTCTGAAACCTGTATACAGGCACAGGCTTCTTGTTACTTGAGCAGTTTGGGTTACAGAATCCTCAGCCACCTGAAAAACAAAATGACACTTATTTCCTGTCTTCTAGGTCCTGTTTGGCCTACTCACTGGGGCAGAGAATCAGTATACCAATAGAAGCAATAATTTGAGCTCCCAGGAGCCTTACAATATCTTGCCATTAGCATCTAGTCAAATAAGGTAAGTTGCTCAGTGATGCAGATATGACTTTTTAGAAAGCAAGTGTCTTGAACTGAATGGTATGACTGAATACATTTCCTTATTTCTCTCTAAGATTTGGACTTCTACCGCTTAGTATGTCAAGCTCTCGAAAGACTAAATCTGCTGTTAAAAACCCAGAAAATCAGACTCAGGTTGGTGACTTTGTTATAAACCATCCTAATCTTACCACATATCCCTACTGTGTTACCAGAGCAGGGAAGCAGCATTGTAAATAAGGGTTCCAGGCTTGCTGAGGAGACTTAAAAAAAAAAATGCAAGAACTTGGTTCGGGGTGCTTAAGAAGGGAGAACGGGTTGAGTAAATATTTAAGTCAGCAGCCCCTAGTAAGAGACAAGTACTTTCCAAGCAGGGTTGCTTTTAAAAATACTGTACAAATCCTAATCCTCACATTAGTTTTGCAAGTAATCATACCCTCCCCCACCCCTTTAAAAAAAAAAAGCCAACAGGAAACCTGATTAGCTCATTTTCCTTAAGCGATTTGCTAAAGGCCAAAAGCAAGTCCGGAAGCACAGAATTCCAGACCTCTAGCCCCCAGCTGACAGACCATGTAAGTTTATGCAGTGATGACTTAAAATTTTGCTTCTTCATCTGTATTTAAGGGAAGTAGCAAGGAATGTTAAGCTGTTAAAGGATGCTGTCTAACTATTTTATAAACTTCCTTCCAGTATGATGGTGACCCATACTCCTGAAGAAATCTTGCTTGGGTATTTAAGCTTGTGTGCATTCTGAGTGGCTTGCTTCACCTACAATGGCATTTAGTATTGTCCAGTTGCTCTGTATTAAATTTTATATTAACCTAAATTGTACACAGATACTCATTCCCCATCATTTAAATGTCTGTTTAGGCAGGGCTCCTGTGTGGAGGACTGGGAGAGCCAAGGAAGACCTAGCTGCTTCAGGAAGTGGTATTCCTAAACGCACTCATCCCTCCAAGTCATCACTGAACCCATACCCCACTATGGTGCAGTAGGGCACAGTCCTGACTGATTTCATTCAATAAAGATCCACTTCTCTATTTAAGAGTAGAGACATTTACCTAAATGGGGGCCAACCTATCACATTCTGCTCCTTCAAGTTCATGTAATTCAGTGGGAGAACTTCTTGGCTTTAATTGTTCTAAAGAGCACACTTGTTTCAAAACAATTCAATTTTAGAAAAAATTATCTACCTCCTGCTCCCAGGGTATCTAGTATAGTTTAGAAACAGTGACATTTCTTCCATACCTACCTGTGTGTTACTAGTTGTAGCTGCAGTGATGTGTGTATATATAGTTTAATAGAAAGCCCCTTTTCTGAATTACTAGCAGATATGCTCTCTCTGCCTTTTCTCAGATCCCACCATGTAATGAATCATGTAAGATTGTGTAGAGTACTTAATCAAAAACTATTGTCTAGGTATAGGGACAGTGGTATTTTATCATTTCTAAAGCACAGGAGAAAATAGAGTAAGCCCCTTTCCTGGGCTAGTCAGTAAAAACAATCACATTAAGTGATTCTTACAAGTCTTAAGTAGTTAACAGCATACTGATCTAGTTTAAAAAGTTGCACAGGGGGAAGCTCTATGATGCCAGGACCTAGAAACCCCTCTCTAGTACTAGAAATCTAGTGTAGACAAGGCTTTTTAGGCTGAGTAATCCTGTATATGTAGCTGGAGAGGCAGGGGTTCAGGTTAGACTTAGTTCCTACTCAGTTATACAGTTCTTGATTCTCTTACCTTACTGTGCCTCCCTGCAGCTGCTAACCACTGGCTGTGTGTGGAATCAATGTAAGAGACAGTATAGCAGTCACTGATTCTCTTTTAAAAAACACAGGTTCCACCTCCTTCAGTCATAAGAGCAGAAGAGGAAACATTCCGCCCCGGTTCCTTGTTCAGACAGCTTGCAACAGAGGAGGAGGACACAGCTGCACCATCCCTGTTCAAACTGGGTTGGCTCTCTAGCATGACCAAGTGATCTAATAAAAAGATGAAACACTTAAGTTTGCCTGCACCATTCATTTCCACTTGGAATGCACTCTCCCAGGCCTGTACTGGCTAAACTGTTCAGCGTAAGTTACTAAGAAAATAAGACAGCATGCTCTTATCCCTTTCCCCTAGCCACAGTATATTTGTTATACTATTATTTAAATTAGAAGTTAGTTAAGATATTGCAGTGTGACTGCTGAAGCAAAAAATTAACAAAATGCTCTTACCCTTCCCTCTCTGTTTTATCATGTAAAGCTGGGTAAGGGAAGAAGAAAAAGTTCATTCATATAACCTAAACACCCTCTGGAGTGTTGAAATCAGCTTTCCTTTTTACTGTGCATCTCAGAGTGGCATGGTAGAGCATGCTTTCTGAACATACCCAATGGTACCTGTCTCTCAGGTGGTCATACTGCTGAAGTTCTTTTCAGAGCTTGAATTTCAGCTGTGTTTTAAGTTTTCTTCCTAGTTCTAGAGAAGGATTTTCTTGTTTGTCTTATTGCTGTGTGAAAGATTAAACAAGGTAAAGTTTAGCATGCCCACTAAGCTACATGAGACGTTCTCCAATCTTCCAGTTACAGTAATAGTCAGTGATGCTTGTAACACTAGACATTTTCAGCAAATGTCCCTTTAACTACTCTCAACCTTTACAAATAATACTTGATCATGGAAACTTGTTCACTAGTTTATTGAAATTAAAAAAGATTTATAAAACTGAAGATGAACGTTTGAAAGGACTTTACATAAAGCAACACTTGCTAACGAACAGATTAGGCAGTCAATCTGAATTGGACTCATTATGCACGCCTATAATACAGATGTGGGTTCCTCAGACTCATCGTACATGTATTTGATACCAACCCCAAAAAATAATCCTATAAAAATTGCTTCAAAGCCCCTTTTGCATTGCAATAGTGCAGCAAACCACAAGTAAACAATTTCCTGTTAACCTGTTATTTCAAATATAGACTGAAAAGGCAACAGGCGTTTTGTGCAATTTCATTTTAACAAACTTTAAGTTGAAATATCAAATCTACACAGTGCTGTCCCTTCACAGAAGGCAAGGAACTGCTGGTTCATCATGTAGGAGGGCGGCCACGGTTCTGTAAGCTGTGGAAGTGTGCCTCCTTCAGGATCTGGTTGATGTGGAAGTAAGGACCTTGACTTAGTGCAGACTGCTCGTGGAAGGAGGGGGGGGTGATGGGACTGGATGCTGCAATTATCTGGTTTAAGCTGGTTTCGGGACCACTTCCTCTGTCAGGGCTGTTGATGCTGCTGCTACTGCAGCTGCTGCTGCTATCGCTGCTGGAGGACTGTGGAACAAAGAAAAGGTTAACCGGCAGGGAACATTTACATTTTTCTCCTATGCATATTTATACAGCTTGATTAAGAAGCATTTTTCTCCAGTTCTCCCTCCCACAGAGTTTCATGGTTCACAGGTAGTCCAGTGGACAATTCAGGAAGTAAATCCACTGAATGCCAAGAAGGCCCATTCAGTTGCTTTAGTGACTGTCAGACTAATGAGAAATTTCAGGAAGCCCAGGTGATGTGCAATTGCGTCCACTAACCACTAGGGCTATTTGACCCAACTTAGTGGAAAACCACAGGTTAACAGTTCTTTGTAACCAAGTGCTCAGACTTCACAAGTGAATTTTAATAAAATTTTGGTCTGCTAAGAACTAGAAAACAGGATTTTAGTAAATTTCATACTTCTCTAGAGCTAGGTGAAAAGTTGCATAAAATTCCCCCTTTTCCCATGTGTCAAAATTTGGTTTGAAACAAGTTCAGAACAGCTATGCATAGCACACGAAGCGAAACACCCAGAGTGACAGGAGACTTGGGAAAAAAAATGCAACAGGGTACTCAGTATACTTGTAGCACATTTCCACTATGTATTTGCAAGTTAGATTTCAGTCCTGGTTCTTAGTTTTCTGCAACATAATGCACTTTACACTGCAATACTGCAGTGAGAAAGTTACCCAGATATCTATGTTAGCCTCAAGGCTACTAAGCAGCAAGCCACTAAATCACTTTCACATGCAGAAAGTAAGACAGAACTCATGATTTAGCTTGCATAAGAAGACAGTGTTTTTCTTTAACCAGATTAAAATGTGTATACGCTTTTAATGGTCATGACACCAATAAAGTGTTGTCAGTATTCCACACACAAAGCGTATTTTCTGTGTTTCAAGAGACATCAAGTGGCTTAGGCTAAACAAGTTTAAAGGATAGCTAATATTTTCATGGATTTGCTTTAGTTGCAATTAAACAGTTTCCTGTTTTGTTATTCTCATGTACTGTTCACAATATTGCAGCATTGTGCTAAGTGCTTAAGAATCAAAGTGAAAATGTCTAATTTATCATCCACTCAATTAAATTTAAGAAGTGAGCATTATAAATAGAGTAGACTTTAAACATTCTTTAATCGAAAGGTATTGTTAGTAAATTAAAAAAAAAATTTACATTTTAAAGAGTTTTTCCACCTGAAAATGTCCCTTGATCTTGGCATACATTACTTTGATGAAAAGGAAAAGAAATGTTGGCAAATATATACGTATGCCTGTAACAAGTCCATATTGTCCCCAACCCTTAGTTTGATTACAAGGCCACTTCAGATTTTTGTATGAGGTACCATCATACAACAACTAATGTTTGTACTGTATAAATCAAGATTTGGTAGCCATTATGTAATTTTTTTTTTGGTGGAATACCGTTTCTTTAGAACAGAAAGCAGCAATTTCAATGATCAGAGTCAAGCCCAATAAGATACATCTAGTGTGTGTTCATACTCAAGGAGGCAAACCCACATTGCATAACCTTGAAAGAGAGTTTACTACTGAAGAACAGTACACACTGGGGTTTACTCCAAGATCTGGAGCAATGCTTGCTCACAAATCTCAGACTGCAACTTACATCATCAGCCAGAATTATCCAGGCTCCTCAGGTCACTATGTAAATAAGTGTTTGACATGGACTATGACACTAAACTATAAAGGCAGAGTGCATAACATTGATTTATACAATAGGTTATATTGATTCCACCAGAACAGCAATGAATTCCACTTTGTTTTTGAGCCCAACTGTAACAGAAAAGCAAGAAAACACAGCTGAGGCTGACAGAATTGTTGAGGCTGAATTATGGGCATTTGAAATCAGTGCAAGAGCACTGAGTGTCGGAATTAACCAGGTCAACTAAAGAGAAAGATTTCAAACATACTCTGTTAAGAATGCAATGATCAGTCAATGCTGTATGAGTGACTGGTTATTTTTTCTACAGGTATTATACAAAGTTAGAGTTTACACAAGAAGGGTGTGTAGTGGTCACTAATCCACATTTACTAAATCACCTTATTTTTCATAAACTACTTAATGCATAAAAAACAAACTGCACTTTTACACTCAGCAAGTTACGGCAGCCTTGGAGAAAAACCCACCGCACAGGACACTTTGTTTTCTTTTAGTCTGCTTTCCTTACAGTTTTTCGTTACAGGCACCTTCTGAAAATCAAGGTAAAAACTATGATCAGTACTTAGTAATAATCAATATTTAAATTTCAAGTCATAACAGAATACAATTTTTAGGGCCACTAGTACTGACTAAAGACGGTTTCCAGTATCTAAAAGCACTCTAATTTTAACTGTTAAGCGAAAATACAGCAGAACTTGTGTCCTGGGATGTGTTTCCTACTTCTAAGGCTGTTGACAGGTCTCTCCAGTCATCATACTGTTCTCCATTTTTTTAAAACCAGACACAAAAGTCACTAGAACGTGAAGCTCTTTACTGCCCAAATCATATTGAAGACATACCTTGTGATCAGGTTGTTGTAAATCAACAATTCCTTTATATATAGGACCATAATGAAGCAAATAATGTCCCTTATAAGATCACTGCTGAAATCATGATATTATCTACACAACAATAGATGGCTATCAAATGCAAGATCAAGGAGAAGTATCTGGAGAAGGGTTACAAACATCTTCAAAATTAAAGGGCATCTTCAAAATTCCTCTGTTATATCTACCCCATTTTATATATCAATACATATACCAAGTAGTTGTAATGCTTCAGTTTAGCCACAATTATAAAACAGAACTCAAACACAAATGATCAGTTAAGTGTTTTGGCTTTCTTTGCTGTTCTGTAAAGGAGCACCAAGCAATGCCTGAATCACAGAAACTGAAGCATACAGCCATTTAGACCAGCGTTTCTCAAATGTGGACAACGTGGCCGCATGTGGCCACCAGGAGCTTTTTGTGTGGCCACAGCCTCCTGGATGAGGAGGAGCATGGCCCTCACCTGAGGTTACTAGCAGGGGTTGGGCCCGGCCCTCACACGGCACCACAAACGTCACAGGAGCAAGCAGCTGGTGTGAGCTCCCCACCTTCCCAGGGGCAGTAGGGCTTGACCTTCAGTTCAGGGGGTGGCAGGCTCTGGCCCTAGGCTCACACCTCCCCTGCCCACTCACCCACACACCACCGCCTCCAGCCGCAGGGCCCAGGTGCCCCCATTGCCCCTTGCCCACGCTGCGTTCTCTGGCCCCAGGTTTCAGACGCACACTCCGTCCCCCAGCTGTGCAGTGGCAGGTCCTGGCCCCGGGCTCACCCCACTGCCCCACCCCAGCCCCCCCCCTGCGTCCTCTGGCCCCAGTCCCCAGGATCACACCCCATCTCCTGCTGCCTCCCCTAGTCCTGCCCCATCCAACCCCCCAGACCCCTGCTGCCTCCCTACCCATCTCCCCATCCAGGGCTTAATTTGTCCCCCGGGGCTGAATAAGTCTGTTACGAAAAGTGATATTTGTTTCGTTTGTTACAGAAACAGACTTACTAGCTAGCTAGTCTAAAAAATGCAAAAGAAATAAGAAAGAAAGACAAGAACATGTAAAGCACCTTATTTGTTTCTATTCGGTTTAAGTCCAGTAAAGCAGGGGTTCTCAACCCAGGGTACGTGTACCCCTGGGGGTATGCAGAGGTACATCTACATATTTGCCTAGTTTTACAACAGGCTACATAAAAAGCAC